GTATGTCTATGTGTGCATTCCATATGCATTTGGGAATCTTCTGAGAGTTAGTAATGTTACAAAAACTGAAGGAGAAAGGGAATAATGAAGGCAGGCAGAGGGCCAGTTTAAGCCACATACAGTTTGATTCAACACACTGTCTTGGGGCCACATTCAGATATGACGAGCTCATCTCAACCACTCACTTACTTTGTAGGCAGTAGCATTTAGGCCAGGAGAATTGCTGATAGGGTGGAAGCTACTCAGCCTAGACGGAACAAGCACAGGATTTAGGAAGAGATCTGGTCCCATCCCTCACTGCTGTTGTTACTTCCATTTGACTACACAATCCTTACCTGACCTGATCAAGGCACAGAGTCTCTCCTTGGGCAAAGGAATCATATGGCCACATATTCTGATGTCTTTACAGTCTTCAATCTTGCCATAATCTCTTCACATGTTATCTACTGACTGCCTGCATTTAAAGTGCATCTGATGTTACTAATGAGTTTTCTCAATTAAAAATAATTGATGACAAATGTGAAACAATTCAATTTTTTTCTATATAAGAGAGACATCTGTATTTTCTAATTAAATACTCTAAGTGTTGTTGCTGTACAATAATGCCAAAATTAACAAAGATACATAAAATAAATCCAATTACTAAAGACCAACATAATGAAATTCAAAGACAAGATGAAAATGTATCATTATAATGTTTTATTGTGTGTGTATACTACACACAATTACCACATAACATTCTAATCTAAATCATCATAAACTTCTATGCCACATGTTCCAGTGTTAAGTGTCCAGAAATGGAAATTTAAGAATTGGCTGAAATTTAAGAATCTGCTAAAAGACTCTGGAAACCTGCATGGTTCAAGATCCTTTTGTTTGCTTTCAAGAAAAAGGGAGAATTTGTGCCATCTTAAAGGTGAGAGAAGACCACATATTTTAGCAAGCCAGAGATACACGAGTCAGAGCTATTTGGCAGCTCTTTTACTCCTTCAGAGCAACCAGTTTAGACTCCCCCTCCACTGCTGTTTTAGGGGGAAGGTTCTGCATTACCGCTTACAATGCTGCCATCTATTGACGTCCGTGGGCTTTTATCTCTTATAATCTATTTTCCCTCAGCAACTTCTTGCACTTTTATTGTTTTTCGCGATGGGATTTATCTGGCTAAACATAACACAACTGCAATAAAAGCACCTTGTGAGAATTGCCTCAGGCTTCCTCGAAAATCAGTGGAAAAAAGCCCTTCTGGGGTGTGATTCATTTCTACCCAAAGTAGATAACCAACATATATCAGATGAACAGCACCCAAAAAGCACTACTGTGCTTTGCCCCTGGCTATAATGGTATCTGAAGAGTGACTAGCTCTGGCCTAGAGATCACTGTCAGACTTTAAGTAAGCACATAAAGACAGCAAAACAAATGCTACCTCCTTACCCAGTGATGAAAGTTTTCAGAGATGCTGCTGATTTTTAATTCATTAACTTGTATCCATGTTCAATGAGGCCACAGGTGCTAAAAAAGAGACATGCTATCTATCTACATCTAACTTTGAATAAGAGTAATGTCATTTGGTGTAGAAATCCAGCTCCACTTCTTATTTTCTTTGGCAGTAAAATCGTCTTTAAGATATTTCTACCTGTCCCCCAACTCTGCCTCTGGTAGCCTGTCCCTCAGAAAGTTAGAGGTGATTAAGAGAAGTCTCACACGTAGTTTTGCGCACACAAACACATGCACACACTCCCTCCCTTCCACACCCCCTGCCCCGAAAGGGATATCAATCTTCTGTAAATTTTATGAATTGTAGATTCAAATTATACAAGAGCTAGACCGAAGTAGGATCTGTTTTAATCCAAACATGCAATTTGCAACATGGTTGGAAATCTGCTACAAATAATGTATAATATGATTTTGTCTTAATAAAGGACAAGCAGAGTCAATAATTGCAACACTTTGGCCAGTCAATAATTAGACCACAGTTCTAAAGGTGACTTTTCTTAGATTATATTTTGGATTATATTTAACTCAGTGGAGCACCACTTCAATAACACAATCTTCACAAAATAATGGTCTACATACAAATTCTCGTAAGTTTAGCAGAAGTACATTTGTGTGCAGCAGATGCATACTTTTTGAACAGCAGTACAAGAAAAATAGGTTTCTGCCTACTTTCCAACTTCCTGTCATTGTCCCCCTGTTCTGGAAACTTCCACCCCTTCAGATCTGATGCCCAGAATGCTGTTTTCGGCTTATATAAGCAGTAAAGTGCATTGCAGATTTAAACTTTTTTTTACAAAACTCCAGTCATTAAACTCATTGCTTCTTAAAGAATAAGTTAATTAAATTAATTGGCTAATTAGTGAACCGGAGTGGCTGACAAATGCTTTCTAAGATGTCCAGACTTGACAACTTCATATGCTGCTTCTCATGAAGAAATTTCCCTACTCTAATAGCTGGTCTAGTCTAACATTTCACTCTCTTGCCAGGAAACATTTGTCAGCAAACAATGTCCTTATTTTCAGCCTATTGGAGCAACGCTGAAAGCTGTAGAGAACACAGTCATGGGAGAAAGTAGTTCCAAAGGGACATGCTGCATTGTGGGACACCATTGATAAAACTGATCAATCAAACCAAAGCTCCCCTGTCATGCATCTGGCACTCAACCTGCAAGAGAAGATCTCATGTTGGAATAAACAGGAGCTGCACTTCCCTCACCAGCATTAGCTTTGAGAAATAAATTGCAGGGGTATTCACTCCATTCCAGACCCAGATTACATTTTTCATGTGTCATGGGTGTAGAAGAAAAGTATTTACTAATCAAAAATTAAATGTGAGACCTTCTCTACTGTTGGGTTGTGTGAGGGCCTGCATAAGGGTGTTGTCTTTAAAAGCAAACTTTTATGCCAGGTTGCTCCTTCTCCTCTGATAAGGTAGACTTTAAACTCATTAATTATCTACGTGGGTTTCCAAGGAAAAAACAGCTCTTGGAGCAGCAGATATTTTGTGGAGCGAAAGATTCAGAAGTGATCAAGTGAAAGTGATCAGGTGAAACACAGAGAAAGAAATCAGTCTTCAGCGGGCAGGAAGTTCTAATCTAACTGTTCAAAAAATGTATATAATCAGAGGTTTATTTAATGTAATATTCATTTATACCTTGTAAGATAGATAACATTTTTTTGTCGTTCCAGACAATAACTGTGCAACCACAAATATATATGAGTAAGGCAGGTAGCAGGGAATAAGTAGGAAGCAGTGAATGAGGAGAACGTGCATTTTATAAGTAAGACTACCCTAAAATAATAGTCTTTCAAACTGAAATATTACAGAATAAGAACAGCATGATTCCATTTGCATAGCGTTACATTCTACATAGCGTTACTTGAAATCTTTGCTTGTGACTGATAAGGTTAATAAAACCAACACATGTGCCAAGTCTGTGCAGTGTGCCTTGACGCCTTTCTCCCACACAAAGTACAGCAGTTCAGCAATAATTCATGCCTTCATTTTAATATATATGTAACATAAGAATCACTTCATTGAGTCCAACCAAAGGCCATGCTCATGTGTTACAGCCCATCCATGAGTTGTCTAGAGAAGAGCACAAATGATGGGGTGGCATGGTCTGGTGAGAGTGTTGTGCTACTCAGTACAGTAGAGCTGAGGGGTTTATTGACCATGAAGAAACACACAATAATATTATGGCACCTAGGAGAGAACTGAGTTTGTTCAGCCTGTAAAAGAGCAGGCTTAGGGGTGACCTAATTGCAGCTTCCAGTATCTGAAGGGAACTTATAGGAAAGATGGGGCAAGATTATTTACAAGAGCAAACTGACAGGGTAGGTTTAGATTAGATATTAGGGAAAAATTCTTTACTGTGAGTGCGGTAAGGCACTGGAACAGGTTGCTCAGAGAAGTTGTGGATGCCCCATCCCTAGAAGTGTTCAAGGCCAGGTTGGATGGGGCTCTGAGCAACATGGTCTAGTGAAAGGTGTCCCTGCCCATGGCAGGGGGCTTGGAACTAGATGATCTTTAAGGTCCCTTTCAATTTAAACCAGTGCATGATTCTATGATCCTATGATTCTATGTTAATAGCAGACAAATTTCACATAGCTAATATGAAATGCTACACAGGGGAAAACACAATTGCTGTTCCACTGGCCATGACAGGTCCCCAAGAGGCTGTTCACATGAAAATACTAGCACAGTACAGAACCTGAACAGAAAATTTAGAAATTAATTAGGGAAACAAATAATAACCAAAGGGTGAAGTATAACAGTGCCACACCACTACCACCACCACAGCACATCCAGGTTTTGAGTAACACTTCAGCTTGTGGAGCACTGTACGTGCTGTGGGAGGCAATAATGAGGGATTGGGGGGGGAGCAGGAGCTCACAGCTTGTCCAGAGGAGGGCAACGAAGCTGGTGAAGGATCTGGAGCATAGATCCTATGAAGAGCAGCTGAGGGGGTTGGGGTTGTTTAGCATGGAGAAAAGGAGGCTCAGGGATGACCTTATTGCTCTCTACAACTGCTTGAAAGGAGGGTGTAGCCAGGTGAGGGTTGGCCTCTTCTCCCAGGCAACTATGACAGGACAAGAGGCCATGGTCTTAAACTGTGCCAGGGGAGATTCAGGTTGGACATTAGGAAGAATTTCTTCACAAAAAAGAGCGATGGAATGGACTGCCCAGGGAGGCGGTGAAATCACCATCCCTGCAGGTGTTTAAGGAAAGACTGGACGTGGCACTTGGTCTAGTTGACATGACGGTGTTCGGTCACAGGTTGGACTCGATGACCTCGAGAGAGGTTTTTCCCAAACTAATTTATTCCGCAATCCTGTGATTCTGTGAGCTCACAGCGCCACCTCCGTGGGGGGCAGGCGACCCCACGGGGCACGTCTCTCCCCTCAGAGGCGGCTGCGGGTCCCGGCGGCGCCTCCCCGCGCACCACGAGATGGCGCCGCGGGGCCGGGGAGCGGCCGGGCGGAAGCGGCGGGGGAAGCTGCGCTCGGCCCCGCCGGAACAGAGGGAGGGAGGGAAGGAGGGAACGCTGGAGGCGGCCCTGCTCGGTTCCATTCGCTCGCCAGAGCCTCAGGCTGTCCGGGTGGGTGCGGGGACGGCGGAGGGTGGCGACGGGAGCGAGAGAGCCAAGGGTTCGGTGGGGAGGTGTGGGAGCCCGGGCGCCTGGCGGGGCGGAGCGGCGGTGTTTGTGGCACCATGCGGTGGTGGTGGCACCATGCGGTGGTGGTGGCACCTGTACGGGCGCGGGGCTTTTCCGTTCCTTTTCTCTGCAGCATGTCGGCCCCGGTCCCGAGGCGGCGATGAGGAAGCTCGGGCGAGAGCGGTGCTCTGTGCGCTGGGGCCGGGGCAGCTGGGGCACAAGGCCTATGTTCCTGCCACTTCTGGGGTATAATTGTTTGCCCTATTTGCAGAGGCGAGAGCTGCCCATCGCTTCTGTGAGCCTTAGAGTCACTGGCCAGAGTCTGGTCACGACACGTGTGCCACCAGGAAATGAACTATGCTTTCAAAAGCAGTAGTGGGGAAGTTTCATTCTTCTCCTTGTTTATAACTAAACTGACCGGTCATACACGAAACATAAGTTTACTGGGGCTACTGATAGTTGTACAGCTTTTAGCACTTTGCTTTTAACCTCTGACTTTTGGCCTAAATAGCTTTTGGGTTTATGTCCTGGACCTCAGAGAATAAAGACCCTCTTTTGGGTAGCCACAGATGATTACACTGTCTCAGCCTCTGCTCGGGCCAAAAGAGCCATAATAAATAAGCTAAAGCTTGAAAACATTACTTTGCCTTATGTGTGATTTGTATCCCTTCCATCCACAGCAATTGCTGCTGTTGTTGTAAGGACACTGGTGCGAACATCATAGTGATAGGTGGGTCTTCACAGCACTCCTGTTGGGATGAGAAGCAGCTGTAACTCTGCTGTAAGTGCTGGACAAGTCTTGTATTTACTACCATTCCCAAACAAGAATGGTGTACAGTGTTGGGAATTTCTGCACCTTCTTTTTTAAGGGATATAACTTTTGCTGCCAACTGTCTCAGCAATCACAGGCTTATATTTCTCCATGGCTGTAACTAGGGCGCTTCAGTATTAAAGTTAACGTCACAGACTAGCAATGCACAGTATTAATCTGAAGCACAGGATGTCAAACTGCTTTTCAGACATTTCCCTCTTCTGTTGGTAATTCTACACCAAGAATAAGCATCAGAAGTATAAAATTAAATAAGTGTTTCTGGGAGGATGCACACACTTGCTGAAATCAGGAGAAATGTTCCTGGAAAAGTAATTCCTGTATGCATATTCTAGTGTCACGTTTTACTGTGCATCTCTTAACTAACCATTGCCAGAAGCTGGATGCTGAGTTAGGGACAGCTCTGGCCTGACTGAAGACACGTCTCACAGCTGGGACAAAAGCAGCAGTGGGCTGAAGGGATGGTCAACTGTCTGTTGTTTGGGGCATTTCTGGTATTTTCAGGAAAGCTTTGTCTAAATGTGTGTTTCGAAACCTGCTGAATTTAATGACAGGTTAATTATTTAATCTTTTGTTGATCAGTGTTGTGAACAGTTGAACCCTCGCTGATCCCACACTGAGCTGTGAGTTGTCCCTGTCACCTCCAGCGTGGCCACCGTGTGGCAGCGCTGGATCCAGCACGCTGCTAGTCCCAGAGTGTGACTTATTTACTAATTTATAAACCCCAGTGTGTCATAGTTGTGTCTCACGATATGACAGACACGGTCTCAATTTCTGTTGACTCCAAAGAAATTAAATGCTGTCATTGCTTTGATCAGATTTGTTTATTTTCACTGATGCTCACCTGCCTCAAGCTGGCAAGGGGACAGCTTGTTTTGATGAAAGGGATTACATCCCTGGTTAATTATCAGTGGAGAAATACTTTAAAAATGTTGAAAGGAAATAAATAATAGTAATAAAAAGTTCCGTCATTAATGAGCAGCATAGGCAAACAGATCTCCTTCTCATTTTAAATTTTACAGTTGGTGAATTTCGTATTGCTTCAATATTTTATTTTTAAAACTGTAAGTTATAGAAGTAGACCTATCACATTTGTTTTCTGCTGCTTGTCATGTTTCTGATTTTATATAGTTTGTTTTGGAAGAGTAATTCAGCTGAAAATAAAGCAAACTCATTTTTTAATTTAGTGTCCAGGTTTGCAGCATTGTTTTTCTCTGCTTTGTATTTGTAGTCTTATGTTTCATAAATTATTTAGGAAAATAATTAAAGTTTCTGTACTTGGCAAAACAGGTTTTTCTTATTTGGTAAACTAATAAAGCTGGATACTTTTACCAGGGTTTTTCCCCTCCTTCCCTTTCAGAAAGCATATGTACATGTTGTGTATTAAAAATAGAGTATCAGACTTCACCACTTACTGCTTTAAGAAGTGTATTTACATTAAGCTCGAACCTGATTTCTGTTTATGCTGAAGCTAGTTCAAAGAATTTTTTGTCATGTAGGAATTAGAGTGAACATGAAAGTTAAGCACGTACTTTTTCTGAAGTGGAAAATGAAAGAATTGGCTACATGGGCTTAGGTTTCTAAGTATGAGAAAAAGACATTATGGCAACCTTTACAGCATCCAGATGTGTGTGGGAAAGAGACAAAAAGTGTATGTGTACATCATGAGAGAGTGGAGATAAAAGTTTTGAAGAGGACTGTTGTTAGAAGTGAGATGCTTGAAATGCACAGAGATGGCACAGGGATCTTTTATGCATGTGTGGATTTCAAGTGTTATAAGTAATCAAAGTGTTTTGCAGTGACCTCAGTGCTAGGTTTCCTTCTTCCTCCAAGCAGGCAGGAGAGAATAAAGTGAATTCACCTGCTTTGGTTGCCTGAATCAGAGTGCCTGGATCTTCAGCCTTTGCTGGCATGAGTTGTCCCATCAATTGCAATGGGACTGCTCGTGTATGTAGAGCTTCTTGTAGTTAGGTTGGTGTTACCAGGGATTTGTGAGTTTGAGCTTAATGTGGGCTTTGGAAAGGACAGAAATTTGCCTTTGTGGTCGCCACATGATTTGCATTTTGTTTGGATAAAGCCCATCCCATTGTCCTTTCACAGTGTGACTGTGTGAGGCAAAAAGCTGCTCTTTAATCAGTGTTGTTACATATGAGGCAGAACGCAACTGGTGTATGTACTCTATTCATATGCATTTTGAAAAATCGTACTTTTATGCTTTTATAAATCTACAGTAGTTTTAAGTGCTGTCTTGGCTGTATTCCAGTGTTTCTGGGAAGAGTATTTGACCATTTCTTAGCCGTAGCAATAGATACTTTAATATACTGAGTTTCTTTACCTTTCACTGGCACTCACCTACCAAAGTTCAAGCTGGGGTGAGAATATCAGGAGAAATATGTAGATGAAACAGCTGATGTCTTAATGTAATAAAATAATTGCCAAATAGGGAGGGGATCCAGAATATTTCTCAGTGATTCCTACTGGTAAATCACAGTGAAAATGTTGGTAATTAAAAATCCCGCCTGGTGGTTGTAGATGTTATGTTCTCCCTCTTTCCTCCCTTTTTCCTTCTTTTTTTTCCCCTTCATCTGGTTGCCTCTCTCCTTTTAGCCTTTTCCTCCCATTTAAAAAATGTGGCTGCAACCTGAATTGACTTGTGTTTTCTTTATGGGAGGCAGGATCAGAGGCTGAAAAAGAAAAAAGTGAAATAAGGGAGTGTATTAAGTTATAAGTGCACCACAGGCTTAAGCAGAAATCTATTGCTTGAGTGTGGTCAAGATGGATTGAAACATTTAATGGCAATTGCTTCTTTTATACAAGCCCCTGTGTGGACACCGCGAAAAAGGGAGAACGGTGTGTTTCCTTCAAGTGTATGATTTTTGTTTGGTATTAATGTGGAAAATAAAGGTTGTAGAAGCATGAAGTGTAGGAGAAAAATAGAAAAGAAAAAGATAATGGGAAAAGTGATCAGTCACAGCATTTTAGGCTGCATTGTGTGGAAGGCTCCCTTTTACCTTCCTTACTGTAATGGGTAATTTTAAGAAATGGGATTTTTACTGATGTTAATCAAAATATATAAATGAGAGACTTCAACTAGCCACAACAGAGAAGGTGTGTTTAATAGTTGTAGGCCATAGTACTTAAATATAACAAACTGTATTCAGTGCCTGTGGCAATCTTAATACATATATTACGAATTAAAAAGCTACTGTTTTCTTTTCTAGTTCAACTTGATCATCACCAGAACAAACTCGACAAGAGATGGTAAGAGGTCTTTATGGGTTTCTATGTGATAGCTTAGTCACATTTAAATACAAAATGCGTACAAACACTTATTGAACTGTGAATGCAGACATGTAAAAATTAGATGTGAAAGTAGCTAAATTGCTTTGAAAATAGAATTCAGATTACAACAATGAGTGATTTGTCTACTCCTGGGAAGACTCCAGAGACATAACAGGAAAATAACAGAGGACTCTGATCATTTGCCTTAGATTTATAGCTTTTGTTTCCTTGAGGAAATCTCTTATTTCCATTTATTCCACAGCTGAAAAAGCACAGACACAGAACTGAGTTAGACTAAAAGTGTTCCTTTCCGTTTTCCACCCCAATGCGAAACATTTCTGTAATTTCTTTTTTAACAGATGTATTTTTAAAATTCAGATGTAAGAGGGATTTTCAAGGGTCGCTTCCAACAAAAAAAAACCCACAAAAAGTAGTTGGACAAGCACCAGGATCACAGTTCTGTCTACATGAACTGGCTTTTTGTCTTTCTTTCCCCTAAATTAACAACTGGAACTAGTCAGCTAGACAAATCAACCAGCTGGATTCCAGAGCTTGCAGTAAGGTCATCAATGCCCTTTTTAGAAACATTGTAAAAGAACTGGAGAAAATTTTTGAGCTTTAAAAGAATGTACTGTCTTCTTTGGAGATACACAGAATGTAGGAGATACCTGCTTTTGTCAAGCTTTATGGTGTTTCCAAACTGGATTTTAAAGTATTTTAATATTTAAGGTAAAAAATAGACAAAATGTTTTAAAAGTAACCTGTGAATGCATTAGATTTGATAACAGGACATTCTCATCTGTCTGCTGAAGGATGAGGAGTCAGTGTGACATTCTTAAGCAAAGGGAAACAGTAATTAAAACATAGTTCATCCTAGCTTTTAGAGAGTTGGATGATTAAGAATGAAGACATTCCATATGGAAGGCAGATGCTTTTCTTGTACCCACTCATTTTGGGAATAAATAATCTAAACTTCATGGTCCGGTAGCTGTGTAATGTTAAACCAAGAGGAGACTAACAATGAAGTTTCAACTCCATGAATTCTTACCTTTCAGGAAAGATAATTTGTATGCACTTTTAAATCATGTATCTGAGCTCCATAGCCCTTCACAAATAGGTTGTAGTTTTTGATCAGAAATATCTTAAGGAATGTAAGTTTGTTGTGGTGGGTTTTCTCTGTGTAGTCTGTTAGCTGAAGGTATTTTGTTTCTGAGAGCACTTAGCAATGACCTTAAAAAGAGACAGCATTTATAGATCTCTTTTGGGATAATGGACTCAATTTTGCAGAAATGTGGCAGCATGGGAGTTACAATTATTATTCCAAACTCACTAGTATTTGCATTATTACCTGAGAAGCAGAAGGTGAAAACAAATGTAAGTAAACTAAGTTAACCTCTCTTGATAGTGTTAGCATTAAATGGAAAGTATTTCTTGGGTTTGTTTTTTCTGTTTTGCTTTGGGATTTTTTTCCCAAAGAGTCATTCTTTTAAGACTATAGAATGGTGCTGATCAAGAGAACAGACTTAAAGATTTTTGTCTTGTATGTCCTTTAAAAAAAAAAAACTTAATAAAGGACTGTAAATGTCACATTCATCTCTGAAAACCTCAGTTAATCTTGCCATAGTTTTGAGTGTTTGCCAAAATATGACTTAATTAAAATTTTCCAATTTGAAGTACATGCTTTCCATTTTAGCCCAGATAAAAGATTTTCTGTGGAAATTAAGACGTGGGGGGAAGGAAAAAAAAGATTTGCTGTTTAGTTTACTTTATGGTCTTCTTTCAAGATCCTTTATTATTGCACTTTTTGAGAGTAGGATGAGAAGGGAGATGAAATGGCTTGTATGAAGGGAGCTTAAGGCTAGAGGGACTGTGGGGCTTTGTAGCTGCTGGTGAGGTGAAATCTGAACAGCGTAGAACTGGTTTTTTTCAGGAAAACTGAGATTTACTGGAAGGCAGGAGAAGGTGTGTTACAGTATGTTTCGTTCTATAGAGCTGTTTTTCTCCATACTTTATCAGTGACACTTTATTACCTCTTTTCATGTTTTGATTGCTGATGAGCACAAAAGGGAGATTTACTGGCAGCTTGCATTTGGCCAAATACAGTCTTGTTTTTGATCGAGGCCATGATGGATATATGAACTTGTCTGAATTGCCATTTGACCTTTTCTGAGAAATTTTGGCAGGCAGAGGCAGGAAATATGTTACTGGATAAAATGAATGCCTTTGTTTAATATGGAGGAATTTTAATCTCTTGTGTTTTCTGTCTGCGGATTTGGAAATCAGGTGTGGGTTGTAATACCTACACCTTGGAATGATTCAGTTCTTACAACTCACGCAAGTGGCTAAGGAATTGTGGAATATATCCACACAGCACATTCCCTAAAAAGAACTGATTCCCACTGTAGTAGCACGAACACTTGGAAAATACCTTCTGGATACTACAATTGCTCTATTGCTAGTTCTTCACTGGTAGTTGTGTTGATGCAAAAACAATCTCTCGTAGGAGTAATGAAGTGTAGGAAGTAATGCACGTGCACTGTGTTGTCGTTTTTCAAGTGTGCATGTTTTATCATAGGTAAAGGATGACTAGTGATTAAAAGGCAGAATTGTGCTTGCATTTACAGTGTTTCTCCCTTAATTATTGTTTTTCTCTCTCTCTTCATTTGTGGTTCTTTATTAAAAAAATAAAAGGGGGGGGTTCATTTTTTTTTTTTTGTCTTTCCCTCTCCCCCATGTTTTGGCCACAGGAAGACACCGAGCCGTGGTATTCTCAGAAGGTGTACACGAGATACTGGAAGCACTATAACTTAGCCATGCGCTGGATGCGGAGGCACCAGAAAGCCTACAGGAAAGCCATGGAGTCCTTTTATCACCTACCATGGCATCCTCCTGCAGCCTCTCCAAGTAGCCACTACTCAGACTGGGATGGGAATGATCTCCCACACACCCGAAACTATTCTTCCCGCTATCAGCCACGTGGCGGAGCTCTGTATGGTGGGGGAGCTCAGCAGTGCACAGGTGCCCACCGAGAGAGGGAGGATGCTGAAGAAGTCTCTGAAATGGAGGAGGATGCTGAAAGGGACTCCGAAATGGAAGAAGGCTCCGAGTCTGAAGGGGAGATAGAATATGACTTGAGTAACATGGAGATCACAGAGGAGCTTCGCCAGTTTTTTGCAGAGACAGAGAGGCACCGGGAAGAGCTGCGTAAGTCCATACTTGTTCTGTGTTTTCTGGTATTTGATGGCCATAACATCGAGTCCTGGATGGCTTCAATTTTTACAGGTTTTGCAAGAATTCTCAGAAATAGGCACTACAAGTGAGGAAGCCAAGCAGAATGAAGCAGGCAAAACTGATGGCTGCGCTTCAGTACCATTTATTAGAAATAAATCTATGAAAATGCTTGAAAGTTTTTTGGTGAGGGAGAGAGAGAGAAAATTATGACTGCAAAGAAGAGAATAACACATTTGTTCAGAGGACAGTATTAATCTTCAGCACTGAAGAAAAAAACCAGTATTTTTATGGTTAAATCTAGTTAACATGCTGTATTTCTGAGAGGGGAACCCACAGGAAATGCTTTATTACATCACTGAACCCTAGAGTAAGCCTCAGTGTATTTTATAATGTGGAGCAGCCATTTTGTTTGTTATTCTTTGGCTAACCTGACAGTAAAATTTCATGACCCTTTTCTTCTCCCCCTGCATCCTCTTCATTCTGTACTGTACCACAAGTTTCTCTTTGTTTCGCATCTTGATCTGGACCCAGGTCCTTTAGGAGGGATTGTAAGCCAAAGACTTAGGATTTTTCTCAGGTCTTGATCCTCAGAGGTATTGGTCATCTTGTTTCTGTGAAATCCTTAAAAGAAATAAAGGATTATGCTGTACTTCATTGACACTTTACTCATATACAGATGTTGCAAGCAAATTTATCATGCTCTTTTAAGAAAGCAGAATGATGAAAATAACTCTTCACACATGATTCTGGTAGTAAATGCCCAGAATGAATGCTTAATAGAGCTTTCTCTGAAAGAGAAAATGTTCTAAAAAGGTATAATAAAGGCAGTGATTGGGATGGAAAGACATAAATGGTTTTATTTTAAGTTCTTTGATTAGAAGGTATCCAGTGAGCTGAAACAATTCAGCCTGACTTCATACTTCTCATCAGTTTGATGCACAGTTGATATAGTCAGCAGAGGAAGGTGAGTTAAGGAGCTCCGTTGTAGTGCCTGACATGAATCCCTTTCTCATCATACTTTTGCAGAATCAGCTTGGTGTTCTCTGTTGAAATGTTCCTTTGATGAGGTACATGATGCTTTAAGATGCTGGGCTGCTTCTGGAAATGCAGAACATTTTCTTTGGATTTATTTTGATTGTTATGGTTAGTGGTGTTTAAAGGTATGCGAGTGATTAAAGTGGTATACTGGGAATTGGGAGATCTGGGCTCAGAGATGTTCTCTGTTCCAAATATCCTGTATGACCTTGGTATAGCTATTTAATCTCTTCCTGACCCCTTGCTGGCTGCTCTTGCTAAAAATATGATTTAGTTCTTTGTGACGAGCAGGTGAATTGGGAGGAGGTTTGTGACTCAGAATACAGATTTTACTGCTTTACCTTCCACCACAGTGGTACTTGGAGCCGTTTGGAAGGATTAGGTCTCTGCTGGGTGCTACATAGCAACCTAGTTCTGCATCAGTGTAACTCCATTCACTTCAGTGTCACTGTTGCAGCTCTTCATGCAAATTTAAGTGGGCTCTGGTCTTTAGCTACTGCATGCCTCAGTTTCTTTAGTAGCTTCCGTGACAAAATGAGGATAATACTAAGTGATTGTCTATAATTCCTCAAAGCAGGAAAAAGTAAACAAGTACTTGATTTAATTTCAATTTAGAAGTGCCACAGAAGTCTTAGGTGAATGGTGCTATCTAAATGCTAATTTTTTGAGTAATTAAAAATACATTATGATCTTGCTCAGAAATAATTTTTTCGTGCATCATGAGGGAAAAGGAAAATAGAATAAATTTTTTATTCTGTTGAAGTTTCTCAAAGAAAAACATAAGCACCAAGGAGCAGGGGAAAGTCATCGTTTCCCTGATGGTGTGGAAGTGAGCTTGTATGGAGTTGAAAGCAATATTACTGTACTTTGAGGTAGTTTTACTAATTTTCCTGGTTACTGTTTATGAACAAAGTTAAATGTAGAAGTTCATTGAGCTGTGATCCATAATGATGCTATCATGTTATATCTTTCATACTGTGCAGAAGAACAGTTGTCATTCTGTATTGATGCTTGAGAAGGTGGAGATAATGCATCCACAAAAGAAATCCATGATTATTTCAGTATTTTCTCCTTAATACCTTTTCCTTTTAATCCCAAACTGCATGTCCTGGGCTGCCTCCTCTTCCTGAGGAGCAGATTTGTAGAGAAACTTGGGCACTGTAAACCTCAGTAGTGCCTGAAATTTAGGCTTCTGTGTCTGAAAGAGGCATTTGTGATGGTGAGGTAAGAGTTTTACATATTCTTTGAAGAGAATGGAAATATTTGGGTTTGTCAAAGTGGAATACCAACAGAGATCTTGATGATCAGTTGAAGTGTAAGCCAGCTGTTAGGGAACATTAAGGGGAAGGCTGTGCCTCATGTTTTCTTCCTCTGGCATAAATAAAGGACTCCAGGTGGAATCCACAGCCTTTGACCCCTGCACCTTGATATTCACTTGAGAAAAGACACTCAGCTTGCTCTTCCATTAAAAGAAGAGTTTGCAAGAGTTTGATACATGTTTATCTGCAACTTACATGGGAAAAAAAGCAGCAATAGGACAAACAGAAAATGGAATTTGGCACATAAGAAAGGGGATACTAATCTTTGTGAAGGATAAGTTCTGTTAGTCTGGTGTTTTTCAAGCCCTGCAAAATTAGGAAATACTACACAGCATTAATGCAGGTGTTTTGGACACGCATAGTGAGAGTCCAGATTTTCCAAGTAAGATATAGTTGGTTCCCACACATGATCCACATCTCGTCAGCATGTAGAAGGATAATCAAATAGACTAAAATGAATACTAGCTGATGTCAGACTCTTCACTTACAATACCTGATCTAGGACCTGCTGGAAGTGAATGTGATCACAGACATCAGAGGATAAGATCTTGCAAACTTTAACTGTAAAAAACGTAAATAAGCCTGAGATGTAGGTGGCAATGAGATGACTCGAAGATCTTGGAGGTGTTTTCCAACCTTAGTGATTGTATGATTCTCTGGTTCTATGAAAGACCTTTGTGCCTGGATAGTGACATACAAGCCTTAATGCTAACTGCAAAGAGAAAAGTTTCAGAGATAAGAAAGCAATTGTGTCAGACTAGCCAAAGAAGAAAACTTCAGGTTCATTTCATATTTTGGTAACTGCCGCAAACTTGAAGAACAAGCAGATTCCTTACTGCAGTAAGCAATTGTTTTGTTTTGTTTTCACAGTGGGCATTTGCAGTGATTGGCTGACTTGCAAAGTAAGGGCTTTGGCAAACTTGTTGCATGATTTAACACTTCTGCAGTGATATAGTTCACAAGCAACCTCTTCTAAAACAATCTCTTTTTTTTTGCCTTGAATCCATGTCAAATTCTTACTAGTTTTTATATTCATGTCATGTGTTGTAGTCAAGTTACATGTTCCTGGAATGCCCAGAAGTAATTGCGAACAAAGTTTTGCTGAGGCTGTATGAACTCAGACATAATAATGCACTACAAACTTATCTAGATATATGGTGCATTTAGTTAAAATCCCTTACAGACAATTTTAATTCCTTTCCTCTTCAGTTGTGTCTTCATACAGAATCATAATAAAACAGAATCATAATAGTGATTTTCCCTTTTTAGAGGATTTTCTTGTCAGGCTAGTCTGTTGTTCTGGTTCTTCATGTAACTGGGGATCCTAATAGACTGTGCTCCTTGGGGGGATTTTTAGTTGCGTTTAAAAGTCTTCCCTCTGGCTGTCGGAGAGCATGAAGTTGTTATCCTGGGTTACCATACCTGTCAAACCTAGGTAGGGTACCAAATTCTCCAGGCATCCAGGATGTAAAGGGCAGAATGCAGTAAGTTGCCTTTTATATTTGCAAGAATTAAAAGGGCAGAAACCAAGAAAGGAAGATTCACAAGCCTAACAATTCTGTAAAATGTCTAATTGCACATATTTATTACGCTTTTAAATTTAGCTTTTGAAACATGTAGTTTGTCCTTATGTAGTTTTTCTTTGTTCCCTTTTACATAAAAGAGAAAACACTGTAATTGGGTGAGTACAGCATAGTGAGTACATTGAGAACCATTCTGTAGTAGTTAACAGGAAAGGAGACAGTGTCCTTTTTTTAAAAATAAAGAAAAGGAAGGGAAAGTACCATCATGTCAGTTCATTACTGAAGGATAATAGTCTGTCATTTCTTAATGCTCTGAATAGTTTTTTCCATTAAAGCTTCTTTTTGTATTGCCCACACATACCCTCCAGCTTCTCCCAAAAATATCGTTGTCTCAACTTAAAATTTTCATGGTAAATGGAAAACTTGTCTTTAAAAAATGAAAGGAAATGGTGGATGAAGATGTTTCTTTCAAAACTGCAATTTGTAGGTTTTTTTCCCTCAAGTTTCTTTTTCTCTGAAAGATTGTAGTTGCCACTGCCTCTTTTGTGAAGAGGGAGTAATGGAATTTTCTGTGTTTTGAAATTTGTTTGAATTGTACCGGGTCCGTGAAGCTTTTGGTTTTGTTTAAGGCCTGCATGCAGCTTTGGAAAAAAGACTTTGATTCAGGGAGTTTGCAAGTATGTTTTCCTTCTTTCCTTTGCTTTTGGTAAATATTTTTGTCCTGTTTTGTCTTTTTCTCCATCAGACTGTAGCTCAAATTCTTGAACTACAAATTCCTAGTCCCCAGCATTTCTGTTTCTTCCTCCCTGCCCTAAGCTGTCCAAGCATTATGGATGATGAACTTACAAATATCTGATCAACTTCCTTGGCTTTATCAGCCTTGGCTGACAAACTTTTTGACTGCCAAAAGCTTTGTTTGGCATGAACTTTCACCACAATCTTTAAAAGTTGAGTTGCTGAAGCTTCTGAGAAATGCCTGTGAAATAAGAGCGCTCTCTGCAATGTGTGTGGGTGCTTGAGATGCTTTTGAAACATGTTTTTATGCGAGCTGAAGAAGAAATGTGAAAGTCACTTGAAAGTCACTTCTTTTGTACCA